TGCCGTGAGTGAGCAGAGCCCACGATGGCCAGAAATGGGGCTAGTCCCTGGAACTGGAGTTCCAGCTGGTTGTGAGCTGCCGTGTACATACTGTGGATCAGACCCGGGTCCTCTGGAAGAGGAGTTTGTGTTCTTAACCACTGAGCCATCCCTCCAGCCCTCTTTTTAAAATTATTTTTACAAATCCTTTCTCTTGCTATCTATAATGATTTGGAAAAGAGACTTCCTTTAAAAAAAATAATAATAATACTGAGACTGGCCTCTTGATTTTAGAAGTGCCTTCCACCGTGTCCAGGCACAGAGGTCAATCTCAGCATGTGCTCTTACCACATTTGCTGACGTTAAAATCCTGTACCAGGACTTGGGGTGTTTGCCCTTCAGCACCTGTAGGCTGAGGCAGCAGATGAGGAGCCATCCAGATGTGTGCTCTGCGGCATGGCAGGTCCTGACCTCCAGGGCACAGCCCAGTTAGGTCCCAGATGGTGACAGACAATACATGACCGTGTCACCCGCATTCCTGTCTCTTACAAAGAAACTTAAAGCCCAGGAATCAGCTGTCTGTGAGTTCTCAAGGAGAAACAACTAGGCTGCCATCCTCAGGCTGGTGTGCTGGGAGGCTGAGGGAGATCTCTTTGAGTTCCAGCCAGCCTGAGCTACGTGGTTCCATACCAGCCCAGGCTACAGCATGAGACCCTGTCTGGAAAGAAAAGTTGATGTGTTGGTTTTGGGGGGGTCATGGTCCATATGGCTAGGTACCTTCTACCTCACTTTGCAGGACAGCCTGGGTGAGGAGTGATGGTCCCCCAAGACCACTTCTACTCTGCTTTGCTTTTTTTCTTTTTAATGAGCTGTGACACAAAGTCCCCATGTGCTTTAGAAAGAGGATGATTCTAGAGAAGAGGTGACTCAAGGTCAAGAGGACAAGTTACATGAAAGACTTGAGGAGATGGAGCATCAGCCACGGGTCACCTGTGGGACATGGACCCCTGGACACTCGCCACTGTAACAACAGACAGTGGACTTCCGTTTCAAACCAGCTGTCTAATAAAGATTTTGTGCAAAGAGCCACCAAATCTCAATAATAATTTAAACTTGTATTTTCCTTGTGTTTCTGTGTGGTGTGAGCATTGCTGTGCATGGGAATGTGGGTAAGCACATGCCACAGCACACGTGTGGGAGTCAGGACAACCTCAGCACACGCCACAGCGCATGTGTGGGAGTCAGGGCAACCTCAGCACACGCCACAGCACATGCATGGAAGTCAGGGCAACCTCAGCACACGCCACAGCGCACGTGTGGGAGTCAGGGCAACCTCAGCACACGCCACAGCGCACGTGTGGGAGTCAGGACAACCTCAGCACACACCACAGCGCACGCGTGGGAGTCAGGACAACCTCAGCACACGCCACAGCACATGTGTGGGAGTCAGGACAACCTCAGTACACGCCACAGCACACGTGTGGGAGTCAGGACAACCTCAGCACACGCCACAGCGCACGCGTGGGAGTCAGGACAACCTCAGCACACGCCACAGCGCATGTGTGGAAGTCAGGACAACCTCAGCACACGCCACAGCACATGTGTGGGAGTCAGGACAACCTCAGCACACGCCACAGCGCACGCGTGGGAGTCAGGACAACCTCAGCACACGCCACAGCACATGTGTGGGAGTCAGGACAAGCGCATGTGTGGGAGTCAGGGCAACCTCAGCACACGCCACAGCACATGCATGGAAGTCAGGGCAACCTCAGCACACGCCACAGCGCACGTGTGGGAGTCAGGGCAACCTCAGCACACGCCACAGCGCATGTGTGGAAGTCAGGGCAACCTCAGCACACGCCACAGCGCATGTGTGGGAGTCAGGACAACCTCAGCACACGCCACAGCGCATGTGTGGGAGTCAGGGCAACCTCAGCACATGCCACAGCACACGTGTGGGAGTCAGGACAACCTCAGCACACGCCACAGCACATGTGTGGGAGTCAGGGCAACCTCAGCACACGCCACAGCGCATGTGTGGGAGTCAGGACAACCTCAGTACACGCCACAGCACACGCATGGAAGTCAGGGCAACCTTGGGAGTCCGTCCTCGCCTCCCACCTTGTTCAGACTGGACACTTACTGCTCTTTCCCATTGTGTAGAGTTTCTGGTGCCCCAAGTGGGTCTGTCCATCCATCCTCAATCAGCCAAGGAAACGCCAAATTAAAAGTGGAAAGCAGAAAGGGATTCATTCAGTGTGGCCACGCTGGGAAGAGGGACAAGGATCCGGAGGACCCCCCACCCCCGAAGTCCGTCTCTGGGGTCCCGAAGAGAAACCAAAGTTTAAATGAAGAGCTAAGGCTGTGCACGTCCAAGCAGTCCCGTCGTTGTCTGGGTTTCATTCCTCTTGTGAGGTTGTCTGACAAGCTGTTAGAACCGCCTGCATCAGGAGCTGGAGAGACGGCTCGGCTGTTAGCAGCACTGTGTTGCTTTTGGAGGAGGATCCAGGTTCAGTTCCGGCTCCCGAACTGCACCCAACAACAGTCTATAACTCCCGTTCCAGGAGGTCCACCGCCCTCTTCTGGCCGCTGCGGGCACTGCATGCAGACAGCTCGCACACATACATACGTTTTCACATACGTTTCACATCCAGCAGGTCACTCTGCCCCTCTGGTTCCATCTCTAGACCTCCTTCCTTGCTAGAGGACCCAAAGTCCATATTTCTCTAAACAAAAACATGGTTTGGCCTATCACGGCAATACCCCAGTCCCGGGTACCAACTTCTTAGTCAGGGTTTCTATTGCTGTGAAGAGACACCATGACCATGGCAACTCTTATAAAGGAAAACATTTAGTTGGGGTGGCTCACTTACAGTTCACTTACCATTATCATCATGGTGGACATGGTAGCGTGCAGGCAGACATGGTGCTGGAGAGGTAACTAAGAGCTGTACACCTTGCAGGCAATAGGAAACGGTCTGAAAGCCACACTGAGGGAAGCTTGAGCAAAAGAGACCTCAAAACTCACTCCCATAGTGACACACTTCCTCCAACAAGGCCATACTTCCTAATAGTGCCAGCCTCTATGAGCTAATGGGGGTCAATGATATTCAGACCACCACACCAGGTATGGTAACTCATACCTGTAATCCCACCATGTGAGAAGCTGAGGCAGATGGGTCTGAAGTTTAAGATAGCCTGGGCTACCCACTGATCTCCAAGACGTCCTGTAATACAGAGTGAAATTTTAAAGCAGCAGCATCCTCGGCAGGAAATACGGAATAGCCAGGGTCAGGGAAGGGCTGACCTCAGATACGATGCTGACGGGATGGATGGTGAGTTCATAAGATAAACTCACATTTACTGTTCTCCTGGAGATGTGTGGAACCGCTCTGAAGTGTCCGGCGTTTCCTGGAGAACTTGTCACAGAAGAGATGGCACCAGCTTCAGATGCCATTTAACGGAGCTTCAGTGGCCGTAAGCCGTCTGTGGACTGGCTTCTGCCTCTCACAGACAGCACAGACCTGTCCTTCTGCCAATGCAACAGACAGACAAACTGCCCTTGTCCTAAAGGGAATAAGAGACAGTTTTCTTCCTGGAGCCATTTTGAGGGACCATGACCCAGGTACATAGATTTAGTTTACCCAAAATTCCATGTCCCAGTGTGGAAGCAGATTCACGAAAGTTTATAGTTTTGCAGGACAGAGAAAATCATAAAAAGACAAGTTTAAAGCACATTGGTGGTTACATCAGAGAGGCGGTTACAGCAAGATGGCGGGGGGGGGCGGGGAGGGGGGAGCTTTGCTGTAGGCCTAGGATGTTATCCGATGACATTCTCAAGCCTTTGGGTTGGCGGACGGAAGCCAGTGGCCTGCTAAGTTAACAGATTTCAAAAGGGTTTTATCTACTAGTCACGGGATGTTAGTTCTGATATTAGGGGTGTGCAAGGAATGGTTGTTCAGGAGGCTAAAACTGCCTGAAGATAATAAAATTAGCCTTTGGACCTGCAACATTTTAACCTTTCCACATTATTGTAGTTTTAATTGGTCAATCACTCTTAATACGCAAATACAGTTTATTTCTGGCAACTCTCACTCAGAACTTTGTCCCCCTGTTGGCCAAGCATCACCTTCCAGCATGCAAAGGCCACATATTATTCATTAAATGTTACAACATCCTTCCCATCTATGAAGCTCATTCTAGGATCTAGCGTAGGTGAGGTTGAGTGCTTGGCAGGACAGCGATCTTTAGGAGAGAGGAAGAGCTGGTAAGGACCATAAAGAAAGAAACGGGAGGTGGAGACAGGTGGCTCTCTGAGAGTTTGAGGCCAGCCTGGTCTACACAGTGGCCTTCGGTATAGCCAACCCAGGCTACATTGGGGGAGCTTCTCTCAAAAAAAAAAAAAGAAAGGAAGGAAGGAAGGGAGGGAGGGAGGGAGGGAG